TGCATGATTGCTTCTTTATCTTATACTAACTATTTTTTTCTTTTAGTTTTTTTTTTTATTCTTACTTGATTTTATTAGCGTGAAACACGTTCGACGATATTTCATACGACTATTCTTACCGGATCATATCTTGAGGTTGATTTCTCGACTTCAAGTATGAAAAACAATCTTAGGAGAGTATGTAATGTACTTTTAGATTCTCTATCAATTTTATCTTTCAATTTATTATATTACTTTGTTATTTTTATTTAAATCCATAGTATTATTCTAACAAAACTAGTATGGTCGAATTAATCCACTCAATAATATAAAAGCACCCAAACGCCTATGCTCATCGTGGAATCAAGTAATAAGAGGTGTATGTATACTCCTTGATGAACACTACAAGCCTCTTCCTACCATACCACAGGGACGGATGGAATTGAATGAAGGGTCTCCATTTGGCCAATCCTACCGTACTACCTATCGAACTTGATGTTTCTTGGGATACCCCACACCAAATCTTGATAACAGTGCTTGTTCGCATGTGATAATGGATTAGTGTACATCCATTTGTATCAGTGTGGAAGGAAACTCTTCGTTCCGAATCAATTACGTGTTCCCCAAGCATAAAAGTATGATACTAAGTGGTCATCAAACACTCGTTTCGAAGTTGGATTCCACTTCGGAATACTTTTTTGTGTCCAAAACGGCTTGTGCCTTTTTAGCGGTCAAGATTGGCAGACGAGACCACCTGAAAAGGTTAGCAATGTTGTGGCGGTGTAAGTTTAAATATAACACCCCTATATTGAGAGAGAGAGAGAGAGAGAGAGAGTGAGAGTTGTTATTTGCATGATTTATTTTATCGATCTTTATCGATATATCTATTGATCATCAATACAATATATATCGATGTATTTGAGTGGTATTATAGTATGATTTGAGGATCTCTCATATATTTGATATGTTTGATGAATAAAATATATCAAGGTATAGTAAACTATAGTGACCGGTGAAAAATTACTTTGATATTTTTTAGGAATATACTCGATGACGTTTGGTCCTCTTGCTTCGTCTTCTTTTGAGTAATTGAGTGATATGAAAATGTTGATCGGGGACATCAAATTAGAATGTACTAGGAATGAGATAATTTAAGGAGCTTAGTTCTCTCAATTTTAACGGTGAGTCTAATCCAATGATTGTAGAATAATGGAAGTTATTAAAAGAAAATTTTAATTTGAATGTTATAATGAAAGAGTAAGACTCAATGAGATTGATAATCTTAATCTAGAGGTATGACAAATTTAGAGGAGTATGATAATTAATACTTATTATATCAATGATAGATGGTTACTAGTCATAATATCTTATGCTTACCTCATTACAATTAGGTGAGATTTTGAAAGAAATCTTATAAATTATATAATCTTTGAGGTATAATATATGTATAAATATAAATAATATTATATTATTAAAAATTGATAAATCGATCAAGATTAACATATATACATAGATTCGATAAAAGAAATTTAATTTTGTTCAATTATGGATCAATCTTATATATGCCATCCGATCCTCTATTTCAATTCCTATTTTATTCTGTTTCCTTTTCAATCTTTTCTCACGTATAACTCTACAAATTTATTAAAATTTTTATTTTTTTGAACACGTTATAGAAGAAATGTTTCTCGTTCTTTTTTTTATAGAGAATATGAAGTCGTCTCTCTCTCTCTCTCTCTCTCTCTCTCTGACCTATACAACCAACTCCATTCACACAATGTTCAACGATATCGAGTGAGACGTGCGAGACCATCTCACTTTGGACAAAGGGGAAATCTTAATATTACGACAATCGAGCATATTACCGAGCATTTATGCGTGTTTTTGTAAGCCATGAAAGCCTTCTAGTGATACGCAATGTACAATTAATTATACCTATTCATTACCTCCAATATAAAGATCGCCTGCAATACACAAGGGTGAACGAGTGATGGTCGAAGCTAATTGGGTGCATGACGAAGAACAAAACAACAAAAACAAATAGATTTATAGAATAAACAAGATTTTTCCAAGTCCAAGTGGGATTCTTCTTCTTCGACTCTTAAAATAAAAGATACGAAAAGAAAGAAAAATTGTCACCATCGTTGAAGAATAACATGACAAATAAGGTGACAGCGTGCAGCCGCTTTCCCCTTTGTAGTTCCCTCGGTCATGTTGCTGCTCTCTTTTCCGTAGAAGACCAGACTTCTTGGATCCGCATCGCCGAATACTTCCACCCCTCGCAGCCTCTCCTTCTCTTCGTCGTTCGTTTGGGCTGTGGCTGCTCGAAGAGATGAAGGTGTTTTCTTTTTTTTCTTTTCCGTTTTCAGTGCATTCTTCGTTCCTTCCTCCTAAACGGCTCTCTGGTTTCGTTGCATTCTGCCATGCTATTCCCGTTGGCCTCTTGTAGATTCTCTGGAGTTGTGCGCAAGAATCATCCCTTCTAGTCTTGTAGAAAGATTCTGATCGAATAGATCTTGTTCTTTTTCTTTGTCGCTAGAGATCTTTAATCTGACCACCGTAGCCTGATTGGTTATTTCTCTCGTAAGTGCAGGATTTATGTCTCTGTCACTCTCTGGTTTTTGATCATTCGTGTATCGCTTGCAGAAAATTGTTTTGAAATTGGATTTACATGATGACAACGAGAAACGGAAGGCTATGAAGACCGTCTCTCCCCTTCAAGGCATGCTATCTTCCTCTTCTTTTGGTTTTTGTAGCTCGATCCCCATCAGGTCAGGGTGCATTGATGCTTAGATTGACTGCTTTCCTCTATACTGTGCTGAACAGGGATCGATTCCATAGCCATGGATATGAAAGAGAGGAAAATGACGGTGGTCGGATCCGTCGATCCCGTGGATGTGGTGAGCAAACTGAGAAAATTCTGGCATACCGGTATCGTCTCGGTCGGGCCTGCAAAGGAGGAGAAGAAGGAAGAGCCCAAGAAGGAGCAAGCGAAGAAGGAGGAGCCCAAGAAGGAAGAAGCCAAGAAGGAGGAGAAGAAAGAGGAGGCCAAGAAGGAGGAGAAGAAGGAGCCCCATGAGCAAATGATAGCGGACCAAGTCAATGCATACAAGAACTACAACCCTCACACGACCACACACTATTACTACTCGCAGAGCGCAGAAGAGAATCCAAATTCTTGCAGCATCCTGTGATGGATTTCCCTCGACGAGTCCGTGGAATCATTGGTTGAGTCTGGTAAGCAGCTGGCTTACAGCAAGGGTGTAAGATAATTAGAGATTTGGCCCTGTACATATGGAGCTATGTGGCGATGAGGTGCAGACAAGTGATCGGTTTTGAGCTCCTTGGCATTTCGTGTTCGGATCTCTCATAAAATTTTGACATTGTTTCTCCTATTTATGTGTCTGAAGAGGTTCTAAGACTTCATTTACTGATCTCAATGGCATGCCTTCGTTTCATATCTTAGCGTATGGCAGGGTGGGGATTGACTTCGAGAGATGAACATGAATCAGATCTTGGATTGAAGCCCAGGCTGATAGCAATCATCATCGTAAGCATTAATAACACTAAGCATTATCATCATCATCATCATCATCATCTGACAGTAACACCTCGACATGTCATACGTTGGGCTTGCAAAGGTTTCCTCTGTTTTGCCGAAGACCTACAGGCACGCATGTGTTCTCTTCCTGCTACTGTCTGTTGTCCTGAGGTGGTGGTAAGAAATGATTCACTTGGGCACTGGTAAATGAGCTCCCCGCAGCAACAGGTCGCTGTCATCTCCTATTTGGGGAGATGACTCGGAAGCTGTACCTCGACTGAGCCATCTCATGTGCGCAGCTCGGAGACAACGACAAGGAACTCCAACCTCGTCTCGGGCACTGAAATCCTTCAGATTTGGTCGTGTAAGCGTAGCATAAGTTTGGATCGTTGGATCAGAGGAATTCTGCTAGCTAGAAACCATGGAAACCATAAACCCAGCACTGAAAAGTCACGTACGCAGTGTTGGATCTAACGTGAATCTCAAGATCATCGGACCAGATGGACAGCTCCACTGAGCGGTATCACGTGGTGCCCAGCCACACTGTCTTCATCAAGCAGCCTCATCGCTCAGGACCCCGACTTGGATTCCGAAGGTGCAAAGCTAGCTAGTTTCTCGAACTTGGCGTAACTCCATGGATCATTCCAACAAGCTTGACCTTCTGGTCTACGCTAATGACTGTAACGATGACACATTACTGCAAGAGAACAGCTCCACTGAGTTGTAGCTTTGCAGGCGCGCCATGGAACTAAGCTATTTCCCCTGCCATGAGGAGTCTGGCTCATGATCGCTCTGTAGCCAATTCAATCAAAGGATACATCAAGTTGTCTGGTATGATGAAAATAATAGAAGATAAGAATAATTATTGAAGACCGAAGGTAAGAGCAAAGCTTGCTTTTCTCGGTAGCGTTGGTCGCTGGTTGAAGGCAAGAGCGAAGCTTCGATTTTTTTGAATAAGTTTCATTGAAAAAATGAAAAAACTTATACCATAATGAAAATAATAAAAGATACCATAATGAAAATAATAAAAGATAAGAATAATTATTGAATAAGTTTCATTGAAAAAGTGAAAAAAATTAAATACATTAATATATCCCTCTCTTATTTATACAAATTAGGAGGAAGGATTTCCCTCAACAGAATATAGGGGATTTTTCTCAACAGAATAGAGAAATTTACTTATATAGTTAGAGAAATCTTATCTTCTATCATGGTACACATGTGGGCCCCTACTTCTACACTATATATATATATATATATATATATATATATATATATATATATATATATATATATATATATATATTAAAGAT